TAACATCATTGCTCTGTTCCCCACCGTTGGATCCTGAGGTGGGTGTATGTCCATTGCACACTTGTAAAGATTCTGTGGACAAATAAGAATATGCTTCAACAGGAAGACCTTTACTTCGTTTAGGCTTCCCAATTCCATCACTGATTCTCCACTCAAGTCTATGGATCGTTCATTTCTTCTTCCCCTGGGTTTCCCATGTTTGGAATAATTGGAGGATTTGGGTTGATATTTTCCATGTTCATTTTGTATGTTTGGAGGTGGAGGTTGCTATGGTGGTTGTGGAGCCTCCCACTGCATTAGGATTGGGTTCAGGGCTGTTAGGGCTTCTGGTGGGAAGAATGGGAGATCTAGACCTAGGTTGTGAGGTAGTATTGGGACTGGATTGAAGTGGGGGGGGGGGGGGGTAGGTTCCATTGACCTCTCATTTCTTGCACTAAGTTTGGGTTCAGAGATGGAGCTAGAGGTTGAAGGATATTGTTGACCCACACATGATTCAAATAATTGTTCATGGCAAGATGAAGACCTTCGGATACTAGTTGAGCTAGATAGCGAGGATTCTGAATTAAAATTACACTCTCCTGACCATTGATTGTTGCATTGAACATGAGAACCCTCCCCATTAGACCTAGCTCTATCCAGGATAGGGGGTGGTGATCTTGAGACATTGGAGGTTAGACGTAGATAATGGGGTTGTTTGGTAGTTGTTGGGAAGAGGAAGAAGGTTTGCCATGTTCAAGGGGTGGTGATTGCGGGGGATTTGGATTAACCGATATCTCCTTCGATTGGTTAGTGTGATTCTAGGCATTTCTAGGGATGTTAGTAGTACTTAAATTGATAGGAGTTGAAGAGTAGGGAATGATTGCATCTACATGCATGCAATTTGGGGGATTTAGCGTGTAGGATTTATTTGAAGATTTTGCATGGGGAGTTTTGGCCACATGTCCCATGCATGCTTCCATTTGTTCACCTTCCAGCGTAATAGTGGACAAGGTGAATCAATTTGTGAAGTGATTTTGTTTTTTGCGAATAGGTTGTGGGAGTTATTTGAATTATCTTGTTTAGGGGGGTAGTTTATCGTAATAGTATCAGAAGATATAGGGATTAATTCATTTGTTTCTGATAGGTTTCCTGTAATCATTTGGTTAGGTGTGTGAATGGTAGGATCATTAGGGTTAATAGTATTTTTAGCTAGTTTTGTCTTTTCTAGGTCTTCTAGATAAGCCTGCACGTGAATATTATTTTGCTTTTTAATAATAAGTTTTTTTGAGGGGAGTGGTTTTCTGAAACAGTGTGCTCCCCACTCAAAGTAAAGAAGCGGTTTTTTTGATCCATGTTAGCTAACTTGTTTCCCACTATTGTATTGGTGGATTTAGCCAAATGAGAATTATTCTGTATTGAAGACATGGAAGAATTATCCTTATGGACAAATTTCAGCTTTTGAGTATGAATATACTTACCTGTCGCTGCATTAAAGATTTTTACAGCTATACCTGCATCTGCAGTGTTTTCTTTGTCTTCCTTTGTGATTTTTTTCTGCATTCTTTTTGGTTTTTGAAAGGACACTGTGTGCCAGCCTTCTTCACTATTTGCCTTCCCTTGGTGTTCTTCTACTGTCTCCTCATTATTACTCTTTGCTTGGACTGTTGGTATTCCAGCCATAGGACAATGGTGTATTGTGTGCCCTAATAATCCATAAAGCTTACATAGAATTTTTTTCCCCTTCATATTCGATTAGTTGCTTGTATTTTTCAATTTGAATAAATTTTGTAACTGGTTTGTCCATGGGTAATTCCACACAGAGATGAGCATAACGACCTCTTAGGGTAGAGGAGGTACAAGCATCTATTTTAAGAATTCTACCAATCGAGTTTCCAGTTTTTTTAAGAATGATCCCATCATAAAACTCAGTAGGTAAATTCGGTAGACGAGTCCAAACTGCTGTGTGGATTTTTTTAGCGTTAGATGCTACGAAATTTGGTTCCCGCCTTTGACATGAAAGAAAATGGCCAAAGATAAACCACACACCATTTTGCAGAACTGAGATCATACTTTCTTGATTTTGAAATTTAGCAATGAAGTAGTCTGAACCTAAATCTATTAGAGAAAAATTTTCAGACACTTTCCAAAGCTCCTGGACTTTTTTCTTAAGGATTTGATGGAGTATTCTTTTCCCTTGTAACTTAATAATGATGGAGAAAATCTTGCAGCTTGGATGAAAATCTTGCAGCTTGGATTTGCTGATGACCTTTTATTGTTTTGCAGGGGTGATATAGGTTCAATAAAGCTTTTGTTCCGATGCTTCATGGAGTTCTCAAATGCTTCTGGACTGGCGATCAATAAACACAAAAGTTCTATCTTCTTTGGTGGAGTATCACAAGCTGATCAGGAGGGAATACTAGAGTTTCTAGGAATTCAAAAGGGTGAGCTACCAGTAAGGTATCTAGGTGCCCCATTAAGCTCAAAAAGAATATCCATAGCCCAGTGCCAACCTCTAATTGACAAGATAATGGGAAGAATAGAGTCATGGACTGCCAAATTTCTGTCTTATGCTGGCAGAGTCCAACTGATAAAGAGTGTGCCATTTTCTATACAGACATACTGGGCACAAATCTTTGTATTGCCTAAAAAGATCACAAAGTTAATTGAAGCAACGTGTAGAAGTTTTTTGTGGACAGGAGATGGAAGTATATCAAAAAAGGCTCTACTGGCATGGGAGAAAGTCTGCTTACCTAAATCTGCAGGGGGCTTCAACATTATGAATATAGCTATATGGACAAGTCTGCCATCTGCAAACAATTCTGGAATTTGTGCAAGGAGAAAAAGAAACTGTGGATACACAGCTATTACATCAAAGGAAGACACATATGGGATGTTCAACTGAAACAAGCATCTTGGATGGTGAATAAGATCATAAAAGCAAAGGAGACATTCATGGAGGCAGGGCTCAGCTATGAAGATATCATGAATATGCAAAGCTGCTCAATTAAAAACATATATCACAGGCTGCGTGGAAGATTTGAGAAAGTTAGTTGGAGAAGGGTAGCCTGCCATAATACAGGATGCCCAAGATGGACATTTATACTAACTGTGGCAGCTCATGGGAAGCTATACACAAAGGATAGATTGCAGAAGTGGGGAATGCAGGTGGATCAGGAATGTGTCTTGTGCAAGCAAGCCAATGAAACTATACAGCACTTGTTCTTTGAATGCACATATGCAAAAGCATTGTGGAGCACACTGTTAGCATGGCAAGGAATTAGAAGACCTGTAGCTGGTTGGGATGAAGAACTACGATGGGCTGAGAAGAAGACTAAAAGGAAAACAGCTGCTGCAAAGTTGTACAAAATGACAGTAGCAGCAACAGTATACCATGTATGGCAAGAAAGGAATACTAGAATTTTTCAAGCAAAGGTGACAGGTTGGGAAGCAGTAAGTAAGAAGATCATTCAAGAGCTACATTCTCGAAGTACCAAACATACAGTGGGAATGCTACATAGACTAGATTGGTACCCAGTGTAATAGTTAGATACAAGTGTAAATAACAGTTCATGGGGAGGGGTGTGATGTATAGGAAAAAGGTATCTTGTAAGGGTTTGATTTACTTGTAAATATTTTCCCTGGTAATACAAAAGATTTAATTACCAAAAAAAATAATGATGGAGAATTTCCAGGGCATGTACATCCGGTTTCTATCCTCCTGTGAAAGAGAAATTATCTTTTCTTCAAAGGTTGATTCAGGGGATATCAATGAGGGAGAGATATCGAAGGAGTTGATCATGGGTGTGGTGAAATCAGTGATGATATCCAACCCTTCCTCTCCCCTAATTAGTTGATCTTTAAAAGAGGTTTGTAGATTACTAGGCAATCAGACAGTGCAATCGTTGATAATATCCGATGGTTTGGGTGGAATTAATTGCATTTCTATATCAGCATCCATACTAGGTGGGGGATGTGAAGAGTGGTTTTGAAAGTTTAGAGGTTTTTTAGAAAGATGGTGGCGTTTCTCTCTCTACTCTTGAGAAGGACGCTTCCCCATGTAATAGAATATATACTCGTAATAGATTGGTGCATATGTGAAAGTAAAATTTTATAGCAATACAAATGTTAAGACATATTTAAAATCATATTTTTCAAAAGTCTAATAATCATACTAATATTATGATATGTTAAAAACTACTAAAAAAATTCATTTTTTTCTTAAATTTTGTACCCAAATCAATTAATTATTCAAATTTCAAGCTTTAGAGAGAAGCTTGACGTATCAAATTAGTTTTTAACCAATTCCCTAATTTTTTCCTTCAGTAACACTAATATAATACATTATCAAAGTGACTTTGTTTTATTAGGGTTTTATTTTCTTTTCAGGGTGGTGTTTAACATGAGTTAATGAAAAAAATTGTATTATGAAATTAATTCAACAAATATATAATGATTTTAGACAAAGATACGTTACAATTTAACGTTGATGACTTCTTTAGGATTTTCTTATATTTTTTTCCAATGCGCCTAAAAATCAAGATAAATCAATAAGTAACTATTAGCATGTAGCTAGGACATAATACTCTTCTTTTATATATGGATTACTTGGGTTCCCTTACCTTAACAACAAGGGGAAACAACTAATACGGTTGATCGGGCAAGAAGAAAAGATAAGCAAAATTCATAAATAAGCGCAACATATTTCCTTTATACTATTAATACAAATAACTAAACCTTATGGCATAAAAAAATTTACACACTATAATACTTAAACACTCTGCCTGTAAGTCGTAACAACACGAAGGACGTAGTTATGGACCAAGGGGAAAACAAATTAAGAAAAGCAAACTATTTTAGTTTCTTAAAGTGAACAAATAAGTAGGTTTTCCAAATAAAACAGGTACGGATTGGTAGATAAATCATCATACAAACAAGAATTGACAAAATCATACTAAAAGAATCTAATTGTAGGATAAGAAATGTAATTGATTGATAGAGAACTTTAAGAGCCTTGGAAGAAGTCAGAATAAAGATTGATGTAGCTCGTAAACTCAAATTTGACGCACATTTAAACAAGCCGCTGCAAAAGTCACCTCATTTAGAAGTCTTTACACTGGAGTTCAATATACAAACAAGCTTCAGCTAGAAGCATTCCAAGTCTTCTTGATATTTCACAAATGAAGTGGACGAACCTATGCGATGAAGCAGAAGACTTTTTATACAGAAAACACAGTAACTAAGAAATTCAGCATAAGCTGTAGCAAAGTAAAAAAATCAGTGTGCCCGATCGTGTAACAAACACAGCTAAGACAGTCTGATAGCCATTTCTTGAAGAAGTGCTCGCTTCTGTGACGTATTAATTACTTGATTGGATTCAGCATTCTCAAGCACATCTGCAATTATGGCTGCTGCATGACCTAGAGATTCTTCTGCTGCTCTCTTCAGCATAAAAGCCTGTAAAAGACAAGTGTCAGATATATGTGCATATGTATATGTCTGTGTGTGTATAATAATAGTGTAGTAACCTGAAGAAACTGCACGACCATATCACCAAGCAAGTTGGGTTCGGGTATATAAGCCCAACATTATCTAAAAGAAAAAGGGGGGAGGGGGAGGGAATGACAACGAACCAAGAGAATGCACCATAACAAGCCTAAACATACATCAATTTCCCTCAGAAAAGACTATTTTCCATGCGGCTAAAGATACATAGAAATGAATTATAAAATTGAAATTTCCCAGTCCCACCACTTCAAAATCGCTAGAACCTTAAATGCATGATGTCAGGATAACTATTAGATAGTAATGCAGGCATGCCAGATACAATGGTCTCAGATCCATGCCTCAGCAGATAAAAATTTAAGCACATTGTTGTGGAAGGAAACCTGTCCATGATGTGTTATCGTCAATGTACAGGGTTGCTGATTCCAAGGTTCTCCATCTACTTGAACAGGAAATGCAGCAAAAAGTTGAATTTTAATCACTTGTCCTTGTGCAAGCCGCCGAGCTTTGGAAAGCCCCACCTGATTGTAAGAACAATGCTCTTATCACACAGGTCCAACATTTAAAAGTAGCTGAAAGATAAAATAAACCTTAATGAAACTTTATGTCAGAAACTGCATTGTCTAATCAGATTCAAACAGGAGCAGTTGAACCCAATTCAAAATAAACCCTCAACAAAAACCATCAACTGTTTCTCCTTCTCCATTTACTTACACCAATATCTGCAACAACTCCTGCCACAGAACTACTGAACTACCAGAATTCTTTTACTAATACTACCAGATATAATTATTGGTCAGACTCCAACTAGGGATATGAACATACAATAACAGCTAAGTGCTTAAACGAAATCAATGAACAATATTGAAATGTCTCTCAGGAAACAAAGCTTCGAAATGATGGTTACTTTTACCACATCATCTCAGGAATTCCCCAAAATATACCTGAAGCTTCCCAAGATGCCAGGTACCAGAAATGCTTACAACCTCCAGCATCTTATCGTGCATGGATTGAGGATCAAGATTATCATAGCTTTCATCTTCATTCTGCCACAAGTCTACTCCGCCCATGTAGCTCCCAATATTAGCTACAAGAACACCTTCTGCATCCTAGAAAGAGTAAAGAGCATGATCGTTTCACCACTGATCCATTAACTAGCAATTGTATTTTAAGTAATAACCGACTAAAACATCAACCACAACTACCTCATGTGTAAAATGTTCAAAAATATGAATAACTACGAAACTTGCAAAATGAATATGTTAGACGACAAGAAGTCAGTACGTTAAATGACTAAAAGTAAAAGTTCAAAAGCATATGTATTTCAAAAGGATTTTGTAGCTGCGCATTTGACACTTACCTCAGGAACCTCGATCTCAACACCATCAACCTCCACATGAACTTGCCATGGAAAATCTGCAAATGTCCTGTCCATGATACTCCTGGCACCTTCTCTGGCATAAAGAACTTTGTTCATGAACTGCAACAATGTTGCCAAATATTTTCAGCACTGACAGAAATACACATCGACAAATATATGAACTTAAATTAATCAATTACACAAAAAACTCCTACAAGAATAAAAATCATGACCTCAATCTCTGAATACACATAAACACAATTTATTATTACATAAATACAGAACAGACAAACAAAGACGATTAAACCTCAAATAATTATTAGCATCCACAAGAACCACCTCAGACGAGAGAGTTCACTAAGTAGCCAACTTACTGCAGGCTAACTTATTGTAAGAGCTTGTCAACTTAACCCACTTTTGGAAAGAGCAGAGGAAAACCTATGGGATTACACCAAGGAAAACCTATGGGCGATAAAGGATATGTATGATGGAGCTACGACTCGGGTTAGGACTGTGGGAGGTGACTCAGAGCCTTTTCCGGTGGTTATGGGATTACACCAAGGATCTGCGCTTAGCCCGTTCTTATTTGCTCTAGCGATGGACGCACTGACACACCATATCCAAGGAGAGGTGCCATGGTGTATATTGTTAGCTGATGATATAGTTCTGATTGATGAGACGCGAGGCGGCCTTAATGGGAGACTGGAGGTATGGAGGCAGACTCTAGAGTCTAAAGGTTTCAAGTTGAGTAGGACTAAGACAGAATATGTGGAATGTAAAGTTCAGCAACGTGATGGGGGAAGCGGATGTGGAAGTTAGGCTTGACTCATAGGTCATCCTCAAGAGAGAAAGTTTTAAGTACTTAGGGTCAATTATCCAGGGAGATAGGGAGATCGATGGGGATGTTACGCACCGTATAGGAGTGGGGTGGATGAAATGGAGGTTAGCGTCTGGAGTCCTGTATGACAAGAATGTGCCACCGAAACTCAAAGGTAAGTTCTATAAAGCGGTGGTTATACCGGCCATGTTGTATGGAGCTGAGTGTTGGCCAGTCAAGAATTCACATATCCAAAAGATGAAAGTAGCAGAAATGAGAATGTTGAGATGGATGTGTGGGCACACTAGGCTGGATAAGATTCGGAATGAAGATACTCGGGAGAGGGTGGGCGTGGCTCCCGTGGACGACAAGATGCGGGAAGCGCGGCTTAGATGGTTCGGACACGTGTGGAGGAGAAGCGTAGATGCACCGGTTAGGAGGTGTGAGCGGTTGACTTTGGCAGGTACGAGAAGAGGCAGAGGGCGGCCTAGGAAGTATTGGGGCGAGGTGATCAGGCAGGACATGGCGCGACTTCAGATTTCCGAGGACATGGCTCTTGATAGGAACATGTGGAGGTCGAGCATTAGGGTGGTAGGCTAGGGGGTAGTCGAGAGTTCTTCCCTCTTTGTACCGGGTAGTCTATTAGAGTTTCGTTAGGTTTGTTAGCGGTCTTTGTCGTATTCACATTGGTGTTTTGCATAATTTTGTGTTATTGTCCTTTCACTTATTTGTTGTGGTTATTTTCTTTCTAGTATCTTTTATTGTTACATGTCTTTTCTCTTATTTCTTTTCTGGTATTATTGCCTTTCCTGTTGAGCCGAGAGTCTCCTGGAAACAGCCTCTCTGCCCTTTTCGGGGTAGGGGTAAGGTCTGCGTACACTCTACTCTCCCCAGACCCCACTAGTGGGATTTTACTGGGTATGTTGTTGTTGTTGCAGAGGAAAACCTATCTAATGAACTCACTGAACTGGATTTATGTTAAACATGAAAAGGCATAAGAGTTCATGGCTAGCAAACACCATCTCATGGATACTCAACTCTCCAAATTTTCAAAAATTTAGATATATCGGTTTCCCCGAAGTAACGAAGTGCTGGAATCTCTTAAAGAGATGAATATCAGAAACATGAGGACAAATCGTTATCAATAATGTGCATATAAAGTTAAATGCTACTGTATATGAGACGACATGTTTTGACAGGGATGCAATATAAAGCAACTGTTAAGCAGAGTAGATCGGCAGGTAGCACCAATAAACCATGAAGAAAGCTCGAACGAACACGTTGAGAACTAATTCAGTGACAATCAGAAATGCCAAAAGCAAAGATTGATATCTGAAAAAGACTAGCCCAAGGAACTGTATGCAAGACAAGATTTTGTCTTTCTTTTATTGATGAACAGAAATGCATGTTAAAACAAGAAAGCATTCAGGTCTGAGATATTAGAGGAGTCATTAGTCAAGTCTAGAACATCTAGGTGAGGTTCTTATTTCCTTTAAAGATTCTGTCCAAAAGAACTTCTCCTCTCCCCCTCTGAGAGAACTGAAGAGCATATTACTAATGGCACCTGACTCTATGTTCAGCAGCCTAGTGAAAAATGGTCTGACAACTGTTCTTTTACACAAGCGCCACAAGTGTGGAACCAATATCGAAGAATAAAAAGTGACTATGAAAAGAAATGTTTCAAGACTAAGTGCACTATAATTAGGCCAAAATACCCTCAAAAGAAACTAAAAACTATTTGAAAGTATAGCATCAAAGCAAGAGCAAAACTTATAAGGTTTACATCGAGTAAATTTATTTGTTTCGGCATCACTCTACCATTTTATAATATTAAATAGTTGTATTTTAAACATAGATGTATTTTTTTGTTAGCTTTTTGGTGCAATCTGGTAACTGAACATGATGTAGATGGAATGCTAGATACAATAGAGGGTTTGCACAACCTGTAATTATGCCTGATGCACTGGCTTAGTGCATAAATTTATAATATCTTTAATTACTTATCAAAAAAAATTAACATTAAATAGTTTTAGGTCTTCCATCAAATACATCAATTATCAAAGCAAAACTTTGAAGCTACAGACCTATTTGGTATCATATCAATCCCATTTACCCAATTAACATGCTTCACATCCTCTAAAAACAAAAAGATATCTGCATTACCTGGTTGTAGAACTTTTCCGGGTTTTCCTCCCTCATATTATGGATTTCTAATGCAACCTTTGCATCGCAACCAACACCTGGAATATCAGTTCCCAACAATCATCAAATTCTATATCTAAGAAAGTGAGAAACTCATCATAATATTTCCTAGCAAAATATTCTGCATTTTTTCAGGTCACACGTCACAGAGAGATAATTTAGATTTTAGATATCAGTACTATCTATGACATGAAAAGGATATCAACATACCAAGGTAGTTGTTCAAGAACTTTGGAGGTTGAAGCAGCTCCCCTTGTTGGTTTAAGATTGAAACTTTCCAACGATCAAGGATGGTTACCGCTGCTTGTTCTATATCATGCAAAAGTGTGCAAAGACCTCCTTGCCTCTCAACTGAACCCAAGCCACCTCCCCAGGAAAGAACTCTAGCCAAATCATTTCCCGTCCCAGCAGGAAGTATTGCTACTGGTGGGGGTGAAACAAAGTTTTGTTTATCTATAGCATTTAAAACCCATCCGACAGTACCATCTCCTCCACAGATGAGAATCCTGAAGTGAGGGACCCTTCTGAATAGATAAAGGCCTACTTCTGGTCCTTCTGTTGAGCTCAACTCAAAGACCTAATTAGCATATCCAAGCAACATCAGATCAAGACACTCGTTCAAGGACATCAAATTGTTGAATCTACTGAAACGTAGACTACTCTATGAGTGTTTTTAGTAAAATAACAAATCACCTTCCATGTTATTCATTATGAAGGAGCTATAGTTAAGCTGGCATAATAAATAGAACTCAAGAAACAGCTATTCTACATTAGAACTCAGTAAAAAGGGGAGAACTATAACTTCATTCTATCTAATTCTCTCCCTTCACCTTGATAGATACCTATGTAAGTCAAATTTTACAATCCTCAATAGTCAACTCAACTGAAAATGAAGATTAACGAGTATCCTTCGACAAATGTCTTATAATTAGGTCATACTAGCATGTTAAAAGATCAGGCTATATGTATAGATGGTGAACGTGTAATAATTATCAGCTGAAAGGTGCTCAAACATTTAGAGATATCCTAATAAAGTATATGATATCATTCAGTAAGAGAGTCAAGTGACTTCTAATAGCTACGAGCTCCCCAGGCCCTTTAAAGGACAGCAGAAGTAGTTTGTAAACCAATTCGTTTTTTCGTAACCGAGGGCCTGTGGCACATGCGCCTCTCTCTTTTTTCGGGGTATGCCAAACCCTAATTGGTCTAAGTCACTCTTATGGTAGTAACATTTCTTAACATGTAAGTAATCCATGCATAGATAGAGGAAGAACACATTCCCATGCAATTGTGCCAAAAGAAAAGCAACTAGCTAAGGGAGCTTGCTCTAAATGACCTGACCTGCACAGGATTTAATAAAATGTTCAACCGCTGCCTAAGTGAATCTCCTCGCTGAGCTCCACTTTTCTTGTTTAGAAAAACTAGCAGAGGCCTAGCATCTGGAGGCAAATCAGTCAATTCATATTTCTGTTTCATCCGTATTAACTGAGACTCATCCTTCTGATTGATTGATGAACTCCTCTTGAAGCTGGGTATAGATACCAGTTTTTTCAGAACACTTCCTTGCTGCTGATCTACACCCTCTCTATGTATACCACCATTACGATTTTCCTCTACTTTATAAGTACCATTTACTTGATGAGTATCTGCAGTGCTTTCAGTGGTTGTGTCACCAGTATTATCACCATTGCCTGTGTCAGCGGAGACTTCATTTAAATGATTTTTATTTTTGTGTTTGTATTTCTTGCTTTGACTTCTAATAGTAGCACGTACTGAAGATGCAATTTCATTGGCTCCTTGTGTGATAGAACTCAGCAGTCCACCAGAGGACGTCCTAGTAAACTCTTTAACATGAAGAGGCGATAAGATAAGCCTTCTGAAAGGGCCCAGGTCACAAATATCACCAGTTTCATTGAACATATTAGCATGGCAATCAATGTGAACCAGGCGCTGACACCATAAGCAACACCATATAGGGGAACCCCCAAGAAACGAACTGCTGCACGACTCTTCACAGTAGCTGCAGAAAGAGTCATCTGGTTGATCTGCTACCTCTGTCCACCGAACTGCCCACTGATGTACCACGTGCTTATATCCAAACATTGATCCACATTTGCAGTCCTTATGAGCATTCGATGAGCAACTAAGATGAGCTGCTGCACCACAAGTGCAGCAGCAATTAAAAAAACTCTCTGATGCCACCATTGGTCCAAGAGTTTGAGATGGCGACATGGACTCTAAGCAGACACAGCAATTTAAACTTTTTCCTCGAGATACGGATTCCAAAGTCCAACTATGAGAAGCTACAGGGACCTTATACCTGGCTTTCGGGTTTTTCTTTGACCTAGCTATAGCTTTCATCCAACTAATGTTTACGTTCTTTCTCCACTGGAAAGCAGTGTAAATGATAGTGAGAATCCCGACTAAACCAGCAATGAAACAACAGAGAATAAAAAACCACGATTCTGCCATCTCGGAGGGATTTTTGCTGATCCAGCTAGCAAGCGGAATATCTAATTCTTGATAGTCTTCCATTTCTTAAATTCTACATTCCCTTAATGCACAAAACATCTCCAGAAAACCTAAAGTAACAAAATAACAGCCAGAAAGGACATTAATCTAACATATATAATTGCATTATGCAACTTCCACTGAACACCTATCTGAAGCCCCACAAGCTGGCTATGAGTTCCCTGAGGTTGGTTATCTTGTTTCTCCAATAATCACATATGTTCCAGTGAAGTACTCAGGTGATGGTGGTTGTACACTCCAAATTTGCAATCCTGCTTATTTTACTCGCCATCTCAAAGGGCTTTACACCTTTCAATAACGGTAGCAAAGCCAAAACAATACCCTGCAAGTAAAAAGAATAAAAATTTCATCAAACAGGGTCAAAAATTACAACCTAAGTTCTTATAACAATAGCCTATCCTTGGATTGCAACAGAAACAAAAGTAGCTTATTACTCCCTCCCTTCTAGAAAGAATGATGGATTTCAGAGTACGAGCTAAAAGCATCTAATTTTTGATCTGAATCCGGACATCAGACATTGACTTCTCAATATTTTTGAAATGTACTTCTTACATAGTTAGAAACTACATATAAAGTAACACAAACCACAAAAATATCATTATCAAAAATATTTAGAAGATGTTTGAAAAAGAAAAAAAAATAGTCACAAAAATTAGTTTTATTCCCCAAATAGTAATAGTGTCACATAAAATGGGACAAAGTAAGTACTACACATCACTCTCCCACGGAAAAGAAAAGGCAAAAAAGAAGAAGATGCTCTTGTCATTGAAAAAGTGTGAAAAGAGATTGGCAACCTGGCAAATGCAATATCTATCATTGAGTGGCAGACGGACATTTATCAATAGTGTCCTTGATAGTATTCCAACCTATTGTATGTTACTTTACCCCATGCCAGGCTCAATACTAAAGCAGGTAGATAGACTAAGAAGGAGATTCTTAGGGGATGGAAACAGCACAACCCAAAAGTTCTCATTGGTGAAATGGTCTAAAGTAACTCAACCAAAAGCTCAAGGGGGTTTGGGAATCAGAAACCTGAAGTATCACAACAAAAGCATGCTAATTACGTGGCTTTGGAGATATGCGCAACATGAGGCAGGTTACTGGAAGAGAATCATAGCTGCTAAATTTGGTGCCCAAAATCATTGGTGTGCCAAGGAAAGCACTTGACCACATGGGGTGGGAGTATGGAAGCACACCAGCAGCCACAACAGAGATTTTTTCCAGAATATATCTTTCAATGTTGGAAATGGTTTACACATTAGAATCTGGAAAGACAAATGGCTTGGCAGCACAACCTTAAAGGAGTCCTTCTATGGTTATATCAAATTGCATGCAATCAGGATGCATCAATTGCTCAGTACAAGGATGGAAATAGCTGGAACCCCATTTTTAGGAGAAACCTCTATGACTGGGAAATCAATGTCCTACTCACTCTCTTTACAACTTTGGCAGAATACAGCTTTGACATACACCAACCTGACAGAATCTTGTGGGGAAGATCAAAAGATGGGAAGTACACAGTCAAGGCTGGCTATGACCATTTGTGCTCTCAGAATGGTATTTTAAAGGACTGGCCGTGGAAGCATGTGTGGAAGATTAGGCTACCTCTAAAAAATTTCCTGCTTTTCCTGGATAGCACTTAAGGGAGCATGCCTAACACAGATAACCTCAGTAAGAGAGGCATAATCCTAGTGAACAGATGCTATATGTGCCACCAAAGTTCAGAGAATGTCAGCCACTTATTTCTGCATTGCCCTTTCACAGCTGATTTCTGGAACTTCTTCTGCTCTATTTTTGGTTATACTGGGTCATGACTCAAACAGTCAAAGAAGCATATATTAGTTGGCATTCTTGGAGAGTTGAAAAAACCATCAAAAGGATCGGGAGAATGATCCCAGCGGTAATTTTTGGTGTGTTTGGACTGAAAGAAATCGCACTCCAACTCACACTCTTAAAGCCAGATGCTTAGCTAGATTGCTCAGTTGGCATTTTCATTCCCCTGTAAACAATGTTTGACAATTTTTTGTATTTTGTTAGCTCCCTGAATCTGGCATAGATATTATTCTGTAGCTAACTTTTGTTCTGTTTTTATTATCTTTTTAATTATGCATCTTCTGGATACCTTTATTAATGATAATTACCTACTTCTTCAAAAAAAAAAAAAAAAAAGATGCTCTTCAGTCCAATACTCTCACAATATCCAAGTGTTATACTTACTTCTCAAATCAAATCACTTCATAACGGAAAATATGTCTTCAAAAAAGTATAAATAAGTCTGTCAAGCGGAAAGATAGTACTCTCTCTGTCTCAATTGATGTGGCACTCTTTCGTCTGTCCCCAAAGAAGTGATACTTTTCTATATTTAGAAACAAAAATGTTTATGGCTTGTTTAGACCACAAATTTCATGTCTTACTTTTTTTTCTTAAACTACATGCCCAGTCAAACACGCACATATGAATTGACACGGAGGGAGTACTACCTAAAAAGGTAGTTCCTGATAGTATATGAGGAAACTGGAAAGCAATCAATCAAATAAACAATCAAACTAACCCTCACAATCCACTTCGCTCTGTTTAGACAATATCATTCCAGTACTGATAAATAATTTGCATTTTAAGGGCAAATCAAAGGATTACTCAAAACCAGAGTTTCTTCAAATGAATTTATCTCTATATATAAGTATCCAAACAGTGACTAAGAAGGTGATATAGGAGAAAAATAAACATAGAAAATTGAAAAGCACGCCACGATCATAATCACAAAAAGAAAGGACAGAATAAATGTGATCACAAAATCAAAAGAGGAAAATCCGTACCAACAACATCTCAATCCAAACAGCAAAAACGTCACAAACTGATAAGAGATCGAATCATGTCTAGTGTCTGCAAAACCCTAGCCGATGAAGAAACAAATGCGCTGGAAATGGACAGAATCAAAAGCAAAAGTGAAGCAAAGCAAAGCAAAGAAGCAAAGTTTGAGCAAATGGAGAATTAAACTATATTTAACTTACTGCTTTGGGTTTGCTTTTTCTTTCTTTTTTTGGTTAAATAGTAAGATTCTTTCAGATTCTAATAGCCTCTTTGGCGAAGCTTTTTTTTTTGGGCAAAATTGATTTTTTTTTTCCAAAAGCATTTTTAGTGTTTGACCAAGCTTTTGCAAGTAAAATACACTTAGAAGTAGTTTTTTAAAGCTTGGCCAAACACTAATTGTTGCTCAGAAGTGCTTTTTAAATTAATTAGCCAAATACAAACTGCTTTTCACCAAAAATACTTTTAAGTAAAGCACTTTAAAAAAAAAAGCACTTCACAAACAAACGGGCTATAACTCATGTAATATTGTATTTGGAGATTTGGACGTATGTGATACTTTACTAGTGAGAGAGCGACGTTTTGGAGATTCTCAGTACACGTGGACTGACGTGACACATGTGACCCTCGGCGTGTGAAATTGGGCCTACCATAACCACACTGCTTCGTCGGTAGTATGGAGCTTCCTTAATCATTCGTCAGGCAACACGCCGTGGACACGATTGGTCATTGCGACGACAGTCGGCAGCGGGCCATTGCCGTTGCTACCATTTCTGTATTACAACCCCCCCCCCCCCCCCGAATATCCCTTTTTGCGTATTAATTAAAAATATTTTTGTTCTAATTTTATTTTTGCATTAAATAATTAAATTCAAACATTAGCTAAATCTATCTATATTTATACTATATTAAAAAGCACAAAAGTCCTTAACAAAATGTCGTTCCCTGTTTTTAAGAGTTCGCACTAGACAAAATAGTCATTTAATTAATTTTTTAATATGTAGGAATAATTATTTAATTAGTTTCCCAGTATTTATAAATAGTCATTTAATTACTTTTCTAATATTTAAGACTTTGACTTTTCAATATTATCATTTAATTATTCCTAAAATATTGTACTTTGAAATCAACTAAAATTTTAGTAATTCTTAATTTTTTCTTTATTTGAACTAGAACTATTTCCTGTAAAAATATTTGAACCCTTTTCCTTTTGTATAAACGTAGAACTTCATTGTCGCTTAAATGTGTTTTAAGAAGTTAATTATTATTTAAATCAAAGGTTTACCAAATAATATTGTTGTGCCATTCACGACCGTCACCATATTGCTTTGTTGTCACCTTTGTTTATTACTTGGCTGTTTAATCTTATCTCTACTGTTTTTTGAGCCGATGGTATATCGGAAACAGTCTCTCTATTTTTATAAGGTAGGGGTAAGTAGGGGTGCTTATCGGACGGATTGGGCAGATAATTAAGCTTAACGGTTCGGCTTATTGGTTATCGGATTATAAATATAATAATTCGTTAGCAATCCAATAAGATAACGGGCAGAATGGTATCGGATTATGGGTGTCCAACGGGACGGGACGAGATTTAGGCGGGACGGTGGCGGGACGGGACGAAACGGGACGGGACAAACGGGACGAAACGGTCGTCCCGTCCCGTCCCGCCAACCAAACGGGACGGGACGGGTTCGTGGGCCTTAAGTGTATTTTTAAAAAAAAAAAAATTCTAGTTTTTTGAAAATTACTATGTTTTTAAAGTTTGCAACGGCTAGATTTTTGACTTATTTAATAAACTTAAATATTACTATGTTAGTATGTTAAAAAGAAAATTAGAAAACTAAGTAAAGAATTATAAAATATTAAAACAAAAGACTTGTAATGAAATAATCTAGTAAATATAAATTTATAATAGAGTTATAATTTATTTAATATAATTTCAAAGTATTAACTATTAAGTAACACCGACAAATCATAAAAATAATTCATCTCTTAGAGACATTTATTTCATTAATAGAACTTTCAAATCTCAAATACAAATACAATTCTTTTGAAGAGCACCTAATCTACGCAGCCACCTTCTAGGAAGGGTTCTGTTTGAACTAGGCCTCTTAGTAGCCAATTACAAATTATCATACTAATATGTGTAAGCTCCTATATAGCTTCTTTGTAACTTATCAATAATATCTCTTGGACATTCTACTGGAATTGGCAATGTTGATTGATGTTCCATGAGCTCCATGCCATCATCGCTCCCAGTGGTAAGTATCTCATTGTATTCTTCTTCCTCCCTAGTGGTTAGTTTTTCAAAACCAAGATTTCTTCTTTCTGATAATCCAATCTCTGAATAAGACGGAAATCTCTAGACTGTCCTCCGCTAATGAATGTCTATGATCTCCAATTTGAAATCTTGCCGCGCTAAATGCACTCTCCGATGCTACTGATGATGATTGAATAGCCAGGATATCTCGGGCCATAATTGAAGCACGATGATTGACTTTATCATGTTTAAAAAAATTCCATACAAGTGATGTTTTGGGACGTTCAACCTTAGGCTTACCCCTTACAGGGGGTACAGGGGGTAAAGCTCCAGACTGAGATTGACTCTGAGTTGGAGCTTGTGTTGCGGGACTAGTGGGTGTTTCGTCTAATTCTTCTTCCTCATTTTCTTCATCCTCATTTTCTTCATCCTCAAAAAAAATATCGTTGCCAAATTGTCTTTGTAAAGTTTCATGATCTAATTGTTCTTCGACATGAACATCATAAAATGTGGGAGGTTGAGAAAATGAAGTTTCATCAACATGAGTCATTTCATCAATATTCGTTCGAACTCTAGGGGGTATAGGAGAAGGGTTAGGATTAGGATTACTACTACTTTCAGCTTTACTACTTTTTTTACAACTTTTTTTAAACATACCAAATACATTTTTAGGTGCCATGATTTAAATACGAAACTAAATTAAAAAAGCTAACACAAATATTACACACACAAATGAAATACGAAAATATAACACGTAAAGTAAACACAAAAATTAAGCACTAAAATGATACGCAAAAATTATATATTAAAATTAGGAGATGGAACGAGTGCACCGTGATTAAATATTGAAACTTGAAGAAATTGCCCGAAATATTGCTCCAAATACTTGACGAATTAATTTGAAGCTTGAAAGTTGCTCCAAAAAATTTGCCCAAATACTTGAAAGTTGAAAGATATCACTTGATAGTAACAATATTGAGAGAATAATATAGAATATTAGAATGTAAGAGATTTGAGAGAGAAGATTGATTTTTTGTGGGAAAAAATGAAGAAGAATGGGGGGTATTTATAGTAGAAAATAGGGTCAAAGTGTCAAATATTAAACTTAGGGGTTATATTAAAAGTTTGGGGGGGAGAGGGGGGGTTGGGGGTGTTTTGGGGGGTGTGGGGGCTTTTTGGACCGTTGGCAACGGCTATTTTTGCAATTTAAGCCGTTGCCCAACGGCTAGTTTTTAAATAAAAAAAAAACAGGCAGGACGGGACGGGACGGGACGCGTGGGACGGGACGGGACGCGGGACGGGACGGGACGGGACGGGACGCGGGACGGGACGGGACGGGACGGGACGAAGCGGGACGAAACGGGACGGGACAACGGCCCGTTCCGTTGGACAGCCATATATCGGATTAATGATTTTCAGGCGGTTTATCGGCTAAATCAAATAGAAATTTTTTGACCAATCCTAGTCTTGTGAATACCAAATGGCCAAACCTGATAAAGTGACTCGACTATAAGTTCCATCACCTTTTAGTTTCCCAAGCTTGTTAACAATTGTTGTTGCATAATAGAATCTGTTAACACTTTGTAATTTGTACTACACTTATTATAAGTATTTATTTTGGTTGCATAGCTATCCTGTTTCATACCAAAAAAAGGGAAAAACTGAAAACTGGCCAAACTGACTGAAAACTTATATACAATCGGAATCCTCTACACCGACAAAACTTGACTGAAAACTTGAAGGCGTTTTCAGATTTATTTTCTCATAATACTCATGTAACTTTTGTTGATCCCTTATAAAAGTGTTTATATAAAAATTCTTAATAGGTTAATAGTTTATCCAATAAGAAAACTGAGTAATCCGCCCCCAAATCGTTAAGCCGTTAATTATAAAATCTCAATCCGTTCACCAATCATTATCCCGATAACCCAATATGATCACGCCCAACTATACCCTTTAAAAAGGACTCTGCGGACGTTGCAAATATAACTCGAGTATTACGCCCAGGGTCGAATCCACAGAGAGTTAACCTATCAATCACTATCTTTAGACCCACTAAACTCTTCAGAACCAGTTTTCGAGATGTTTGAATCACAGTTGAAGGTTGCTTTACTAACTACGATTGCAAGTAACTTGAATAGCTGAAAATTAAAATGCTAAGGTTGTAAACAATGATGAGAAGAAGCTAAGGCAATGATTTCCCCTATTGGAAGAATCCCTTCTGTTTATGCTCACACAAATTTACCAACACATCTCTATCAATCATGAACGCTCATCTTACCGTAAATCTCTCCCGAGTAATCACAGTAATATACTAATTACACTCTCCCGAGATACAATAGCTTACTTTAGTTAGCACAATTCACTTTAGATTACACCCAAGGCTTCATTATCCCTAATCCCGCCTTTAAACCCGCAATTATAGATTCCTCTTATACTTTGGGAGTGGTGTTGTTCAACAATAACCTAAATATGCACTCTTTTCCAAGTTATGCACACTAAATAGGCACAACTAATTGAGGATCCTGTCAATTAACTACAACAAGCACAAAGTTGAATAAATAGAGATTGAAGCTAGCAATTTGTATTCACATAAACAAGATGTTCATCCCCCAATAGGTTCCATCAAAGCCTTAGACAAAGAATTTAGCTACTCATGGCTATGGGAAAACAAACTAAGATAGAATTCATCATAACTAGCAATAAAAATCAAAGAAAAGAAGAAAGATGTTTTGGGTAATCTCTCACAATTGTTCTCCTTGCCAAGATACTCTAAAATTCAATACATGCCTCTCTTGGGCGAAGTCTTGTATTTAAAATAGGGTTTAGGTCTAAAAATCCCGTGTTTTACACTTTAGTCCCTGAAGTTTTCTGCTTTCGTCGCGGTTCTGCCGCGGTCGCGGTCAAACCGCGGCTAAATGCCCTCTCTGAATCTTGTTTTATCCGCAGCTATCTTCCACCGCGGTTCTACTGCGGTCGCGGTGGAACCGCGGTCAAACCAGTTTTCTGGATCTTCAGGCCTG